CTCTCTTATACACCCTCAGAAATCCGTTTGCTGCACAGTGTCATGAGTTAATTCAGCTTTTGCTTTGTGTTCAATCAGTCAAGCAACTTCTTTCTATTATGAACATTGAGAAAAGGAATGACATTCCTCTCATGAAATGTTTCTCATTTCACAGCCTAACCCAGTGAACACATGAATCCAAATTTATGAGAGCGAAAACACAGTAGTTAAAATTTATAGACAACACTGCCATCTAGTGGACATGAATTAATCATGTCAACCATAGAAGCGCTGATGCACATATGCACAGAATTACAAAGTTAATTGAAAGCTGGGCCTTGTCCCAAAATAGATAATTGCGTGTTATATTTGGCATCCAAAAACACATTCACATAGGGACTTATAATGTGTCTGTACTAATTCATTACAGTACTGATTGTGATCTAGTGAATTCTTTTTTTTAGTCTTCTCTGGTAAACAAAATTCTAATGATTGATCATTAGTATTGCACTCCCACAAAGGTAGGGGACTTGTAAGAGACAGATTACAAAAAGAATAGTCAGAATCAGTGCAATCATATGCTAAAATGACTTTAATTTCCTAGTATGTGTCAAGCTTCACAAACACTGGATCCTAAACTTCCGGTTGTGCAACTCAATGGCGTCCTTTGTTAGACTCTCCCTGTCATGGTCGTGTCTTTCAAATACCATGTGATTTCTGTTGTTCTATGTCTCCAAGCCTTCCACAAAAATTACTCAAGTGATGACACTGGAGCGGTTTCTACAGGTAGTGTAACATCCCTAGTGTAGTATAACTAGTAAATTGACTTTGACAATTGGTGTAGTGTCCCTTAAGACAATCTGCTATTTAATTTCATCGGATTCATCTAATAACTCAGTTAGTATTTGCTAAAAATTTAATAAGCATGGACTGTCAAACGTTTCAAACTTACACAATACTGTTTTCAAAATGATCAATAACCTCAATGCTCACTATCTCACTATCAGCATGGATAAATGGATTAATTCAGTGTCCTGGAAACTGCAATACAAATAAACACCAGCAATATGACACTGTATTACATGAATTTAATCCTCTGTTAATTGTAGCGCTTCAGCTACCTGCAATAGTAAACCACTATTGGGTACTGTTAAAAGGCAATGCTGCCACCCAGTGAGCATCGAGTGAAAACACATGAAAAATAATATGTGCTTCAATAAGTGTTTTTGTTTGACTTTTTAAATCACACAATTTAAGGCAAGTAAGAGCAGACCAACCAATCGAGTTTGAGGAATGAGATTCTGATAACAGACAATTGAGAGTTTGTTTTTAGTGTACATTACAGTTCAGGTTTTTATAGATTAGGCGTTGCTCAAACAATGACTAGAAACTGGCTAATTACTTTTGACAGATTAAATATAAAAACATATATATATATGTTTTAGTTCAGGCAAAAATAAACCTGTTGCTTCAAATGACAATTAAGAGTCAGAATCTCACCGAAAGAGCTGAATAAGAGTCCTCTCAGACAAATTAGAAATGCAATGTGAACACCTTTTTTGTATTGCAACACTGTTTGCCACTTTCACTGGTGGCCGCATCACACAGGTGTCTGGAGCCAAAAAAGCAGGCACGATTTGAATGTCTTTCTCTGTTTTGATTCTCCTTACAACTTTTGTTTTCTTTTCATCTGTACATACAAATGCAACACTGTGAATGTCACCTAGATTGGACAGATTAGACTGATTGTCCAAATGAGTAACTAACCCTAACCCTATCCCCATGAACGACCATTATACCTCCCCCTTCTCTACGACGGCAGGCTTTCACCCGGCCTTCAAGTATGGTAGAGATGGAATTTATGGCTCTATGAAGGGAGCTGGATCTTGAGGAGCCGTTCCTTTCAAAGAGTCATTCAAAAGACTGGCTCGTTTTTATATTCATTTATTTTAAGAAGCTACCAGACTTGAAGGAAATATTATTTTGACAGATGTTACACTTTGCTTTGCCACTTTTTTCGTCCGAAAACTGCATCCAAAAGCTGCTGCGCTTTCTTTGGCTCATTGTAGCTGCAGTACTGACACTCGCACTCATGTGAAGGCAGTGTGCCACTGTGTTGGACAACTCAGATGACGTCATGCGAAATTTGCATATCAAATTAAGAACGAAAAAAGAAAAAGAACGGCTCTCAACTGCGACTCGGTTCCCATCGTTCATGTTAAAGAGCCGTTCAATAGACTTGGTTTGTTCGTGAACGTCACAACTCTAGAGTATGGCCTTTTGGAACATCTAAAGACGGACCAGTCAAACAACACAGACTAGTTTGTTTTGAAGCATAACTCAACCTCTACCTTTCCAGTGAGTTCTGGGTTCCCAATAGTGATGGGTCGGTGGCGAACGATCCGGCTCTAAGAGCCGGCTATTTGAAGTGAACGACGGGAGCCTCCAGATTTTTTCCCCGTCTTTTTCTGTTAAAGCCATGTCATTGGTCAAGATGTGTGGCCGCGTCTGTGTATCTACACTGAGCAGGAGGGGGGAGGGGTTACAGACACACACGGCACAGTGAGCACTTGAATAGGAGGGAGGGAGACTTGAGAGAGCGAGAGAACTTGGCACTACATACACAGATATTACACACTGGAAAGGTGAGGAAAATGAGTGACAGGAAACATAATAAAGTTTGGACACGTGATAGACAGTTCAAAGGCAGAGTGTAGACTGTGCAAAGTTAAAAATTTCATATCGAGCAGCTTTTTGTCTAATTTAGATGGGTCTTTGTTTTTGTATTTTAGAATTTATTTTTGTAGCACTCTGGTCCATATTGAATATATTAATAAATCCATATAAATAATAAATATTTGATATATATATATATATGTATGTATTTACATTAGTAATTAATTTTACACATGAGGTAATAAATTAATCTAAGCAACAAAAAATCTGAGGAGCCACTTGGGAGCCGAAAGAGCCGGCTCTTTTTAGTGAGCCGAGCCAAAAGAACCGGCTCTTTTTAGTGAGCAGTCTGAGAGGCATGCTGATTTGATGGCCTTATGGTCTTGTTTGGCTCAAAAAGAAGTAGTTTGTTCAACCAATTCTGCAAATCTAATGTGTTTATAGTTGTTCAGCCACACTGGAGGGCGGGGTGAAATGCTGTCATCACAGAGAGTGGGGAGACGTGATATTTTGGACAATTACGGAAACAGTGCACATTTTCTGTCCTGTAAGGCAATGATGTGTTGCACTCCCGTTTTCACATAAAAGTTCAGTGCATGTGTGAATATGGCCTTGTATGACAGTGAGTGCATGCTGAGAATCTAATCATAACAAAAACATAATGGAGGAAAGCCTGCAAGCTAGTTCAGGCAGGTCAACTCGAGCTGTGCTGATTACACACATGACATGCCTTATTCCATAATCACTAACCAAGCGCTCCCCTCCAATCTGGCGGTCTATTTAAACTGTACAATTTCCAAGCTCTCCCTCTGCTCTGTCAACACCCTGCATCTGTATTGCTGCTGCTGCTGCTCTGTAAGCCCCACCACCACCCCAGCATCCACCTGTAGGCTCCGACTTGGGGTTAAGGTATTTGCGCATCACTCCCCAATATCTCTATGTAAACATATTTGCGTGGAGTGGTGAGGTCTGAGCCTAGACGGCAAAATCTAAATATGCTGTACTGCTTAATAAACATTGAAAACGTGAGTTGGCTGACTGAACTGTACGATACTTTACACACACACACACACACACACACACACACACACACACACACACACACACACACACACACACACACACAATCAATGTCCTACAAATGTTTGCAATCAGCTTCTTTTTTAGCTTTGGGCTATTACCAACCTTTGTCCTTAGATTACCATCAGAGCGTTAACCCCCTACGGTGGTCTGGGATCACTATGCTAATCACTCTTAACTGTCATGCCTAATAGATGAGAGCCATGTGATTATCAACCAGAAATAATATCCTTTGGATTTTGCTTTGTGCTATAGTTTGAATCACACACTTTTGTGATTTTAGTATTTGTAATATGTTCTCCTTGGCATTATCCTCAAAATCCCCAGAAACCTTAGTGAAAGAGGGTGTTAATGCTCTTACAAAGGTTGATCTTAGCGTGCACTGTGACATATGTCATGTGACATGGAGTCGCGTCCTCTATTATCAATTGACTGATGGAACAAGAAATGTGTTCAAGAAAGAAAAGGTTAAGAATCAAGACAGGTGAAGGTAGAGGAAAACCAAATGGACGACGCTTGCACATTCAAATGTGGGTTATTCAAATTTCTCTTGGTTAAGCTCACAGACTTCACAAATGTAAATATCTCTTAAGACCTGGTACAAACATAATGGTATATGCCTCTTCTGGACCTACAAACTTTCATAAATAAATCTGTACTACTTTGGGAGTAAAGACTATGCTTCTAAATCAGTCAACCATGTACATTAACCCTGGTCAAATGCGATGTGAAAGAGGCTCTTTGTCAATGCAATTTTAATCTTTACATCAAGCCTTTAACAAGCAGAATGCTTATTCATGGTTAAGAAATGTTATTCAAAGTGTATTTATATTAACACAAACTGAATCATGAAAAACTCAATTAGTTTGAAAAGGGACGCAAAAGAGAAGGAGCAGCAGCGGGGAGCAACCAAAAGCACCTTTACTTTTTGGACATTTTCCAATTAGGCTGTGGCTTGCCAGCAGATCAAAGCTAAGATAATCCTAGGGCTAGATGGCGTGGCTACTAGTTTATGGACCTAAATTTGATACTAACAACCAATAGGGAGTCAGGTTGACAAATGAGTGTGTCAGTGTGAGTTACAGAGAAGGAAAACAAGGGTGGAGGAGAAAAGAGAGGGATGAGAGAAAGGAAAATATGGAAGAGACAGAGAATGAATCTGTGCTACCGGAGAAGGAGAGGGAGGAGGGGAAGTTTGTGGTTGGTGCACTGGTATGTGACGTCAGCGGCTTGTTGGATTGAGGTGCTGTGTCCTGCTGATTTTAATCCTAACTCATTAACAAACAGAGAGCAAGTGCCTGTGCAAACCCTCTGGGGAAAGAGAGAAAGTGACAGGAGAAGGAAGGAACACTACACAATCTATCAAGGGAGATCAGTGGAGCTAATTTACAGCTTGAGAGGCAGAAGAGAGGAGAAATCAAGCATTTTATTTTTGCTTTTCAGTCTCATGCCTGCTTTCCCTCATTACCCTTTCCCTTGTTTGTTCTAAACCTCTTTACTTGCAATCTCTACGTGTGGCCTGTTCAAGCATGCCCCCGAACGGAGGTAACAGGGCCCTGAAGCTGCAGTTTGGCCTCATCAACTATGAAAACCGTTATCTGACGGCTGAAGCATTCGGCTTCAAGGTGAACGCCTCGGGCATCAGCATGAAGAAGAAACAGATCTGGACCTTAGAGCAGGACGAGCAAGATGGCCAAGTAGTGTTCCTCCGCAGCCACCTTGGACGCTATCTGGCCTCTGACAAAGATGGGAAGATCATATGTGGGGCAGAGAAGCCTGACCCTGAATGCCGTTTCCTTATCGTGCCCCAGTCTGATGGTCGCTGGGCACTGCAATCAGAGCCTTACCTGCGTTACTTTGGAGGCTCGGCTGACTACCTGTCCTGCTTTGCCCAAGCCATTGGGGAACAAGAGCTGTGGGCTGTCCATTTGGCTTTACACCCACAGGCCAGTCTGCTCAGTGTGGCACGCAAGCGCTATGCCCATCTGTCTGCTTCGGATGGAGAGATTTCAGTGGACAGCAACATTCCCTGGGGAGTGGACTCCCTGGTTACCTTGGTATACCTGGATGGCAAGTACAGCCTGAAGACCTGTGACAGCCGTTTCCTCAGCAATGATGGCAAACTGGTGAAGGAGAACAGCAATACTACTAGCTTCACACTGGAGCTGAAATCTGGCAAGCTGGCCTTTAAGGACTGTGATGGGAAATATCTGACCCCAGTGGGTCCCACAGGAACGCTACGATCTGGCCGATGCTCCAAGCCCGGAAAAGATGAGCTGTTTGATCTTGAGGAGAGTCATCCACAAGTAGTTTTTCAAGCCGCCAATAAAAGATTTGTCTCAGTCAAGCAAGGTAATCAGCCTGTGATGCAGTCTTGTGTAATCACATCTCTTTTTCTAATGGTAAGCAAGCAAGTTTTGATAGTTACAAAATAAATATAATTTTCATACAGAAAATGGGTTGGAGTGCTGCACTTGTAGTATGAGGTTCACAATCCAGTATTAAGCACTAAGTGAATTTAAAGCGTTTATCGTTGAAAACCATTGTGGGAAAATAATTAGATTTGATTGTTTGCAAATACATTTTCAAGAAACTTGACTATTCAAAATTAGGCAAGGTAAAGTGTTGTTGTAGTAACAAATGGGCACAAAAACAATATGGCGAACATGCAAGCTAAATGTAGCTAGAAGCTAGAACTTTCAGATGCTCCATTAAGTTCACGCTTAAAGGAAGAAGCGATTATGAATATAACACCATGGTTAAATCATCACTTTTGACAAAATGACACAGCATTTCTCCACTATGATTTTACAATCACCAAGCAGCTGCTATAAGTCTTTGTGCACTTTACCACAGCGTTAGTATGTGAGGCTAGGTGAGACCATTTTCTGATCGGTTAGAGAGCCGTGCACTATATTTTTGAAAAGTGTACACCCTTTTTCAGACGATTCTTTAGGTTGGTTTAGGTACTGAGGTTTGCAAAGTGTAAAGCATTAGCCTACGCAAAAATATCTAAGAAACATAGCACTGTAGAGAACATGGCATTTGAATGGAGCAGTACCACTGCTGGGTTGACGTAACAAAAAACTAATCGGTTACATTTATCAGTTAATGAGAGAAAGCGCTGTCTTTCCTGTCTACATTCTGGATCTAGAATGGTTGACAGCCATACTGTGGGGGTAATTGTGGTAATGGGCTTTGTCATTTCCACTGTGTGTCCATTGAAGATTAAGCAGCGTGCAAATTACTCTAGGGCAGATCTTGGCCTCATGGGTGTCAATTACCATCAATGGACTTTAAGCCTTGCAGCTACTCGCTCTTTACCATCATCCTTCGAGTGAAGTTTTCCAAATTATGTGGGTCTATCGTCGCCCAGTGTGGCAATGAGATGGCAGCAAAAAAGAGCTACAGCCAGGCCTTACCCGACAGATCAGTTACAAGGTCTCTTGTCAGCCTGCATGATGTGATTTGCTCTGCCCTGTACAATTATTCAAACAAACAATGTGAAAGGACAGGAGAGAAAGCTGTGTTCTGTTGCAGCTTTTTAAAGCTTTAAAGTTAAATTAAAACAATAGTTATTATAAGCCTTATCTTTATTGTTAAGTAGTTACAATGGACATGCAGTACTATAGCATATCTGAGGAATGAGGTTCTCAAACTATCTTTACATTATTCTTATGCATGAATAAAATTCTGCATTAAAAAGATCCCTATGTGGGCAATATTCAAACAACCTGCCACTCTAGCCTCATAATATAGGGCAAATAATAAAATTTTTAACTGTAGTGTTTGGCCTTGTGGCAGTTCCACGTTTTTTAAGGAACAAGGCACTGAAAGCTGCTTAGAGGGCCCTGCAGTGCAGATTTGCATTTCACCACTCAGGGAATTACAGCAAGCGAATGAACGGGAAGGGTGGAGGGGTGACTGTAGGGGATTAGGGTTGTAACAGGCTTAAGAGAAAGGTTGAAGGATATTTCTGTGGCATCTAATTTGAACTACAGCAGACACAGTTATGCCTGTGTATTCTCCACCACCTGACACGCCCCACCAGACACCCATGCTAATACATGTGAATTAACACCAGATTGGCTGAAAGTAAGGCAGTCGGCTTTGGAGAATGGAACATTAACCTTCTAACTAGAAAGAAAAGCAGATTTTGAATGTTATTCTGTGGTGTTTTTACCTTTACTTACACACAAGATCATTACATGAAATTTGCTTAAGAGCAAAGGTTCATAAAGCAAGTCTTAGGAACATCCACAGCTTGTAGATGGCAAAAAGCAGATTGTTTAAAGCCATCCTCTGCCCAAAATCTATTTATTGAGTATGAAACATTCTACACACCCTATAAACCCAAAAGGTTAAATAGATATGGCAGTGTTTTCGTGGTTCCAATATATTAAAAGCTACCAATCTCAGTCTGTCTGAAATTGCAGGCTTCTTTTCACATACTGCCATCTTGTTAGTTACAGTAAGCATGATATAATGAGTATGATTTAATGCCATAAATCCATGAAGGTGAACACTGACAACTGCAACAGCAAAGAGTTACCATTGCTTTCGCACTTTTGCACTATTGAAGATCACAAATTAGAGGCTCATCTGCACAGCAGGAGCCCTGAAGCAACATAGATTTGTATGCGGCACCTCCACTTGAGTGGGTAACAATTTTAACACGTATGTCGCTAGAACCTAGAACCAATTGCACAAAATCAAGCAACCAAAATAATTTGATGAAAAAAATAATGGAATGGAAGATGTGATGTGCTTTTTTGTATGTGTGATTAATGTGAATATATGATATTGATAGCATCAAGGCATTACTCTGCCCAATAAAATGCGGTGTGACCTAACAACACCTTGGGCCAGATGTTTATATGATACATGTGCAAAAAAACAACAACATGTATGCGTGCCATGTCCCTCACATAAACTGGTATGAAGAAGAATGTGTAGTGAGAATTTGCACACCTCAGGCATACTTCATACTAGGTGTCCACACTTTTCTATACATAGCTGCGGGTAATATGATAAGGTGGTGACTAAATACAAGCGGAGAGACGTAATTTTACAGTTTTAATAATCAAGTTTGCTAATTTCACAGATTGTATTATTATTTTTCTACACAGCGTTCTGTAAAATGTCAAATCAAAGCCACATTTATACACTTGATTTTAAATGAATTATTAGTGATGAATTTTATTTTTTCTTTTCCCATTTTACATTCCATGTTAATAATAATCTTTTAAATGTGTCCATAATTTTGAAGCACTTTCTAAAGTCTCTTTTAATATGAGTGCTATAAATGAATCATTGATCATCCAATTAGTGGCACAGACACTATAAATAGGCACAGATCGTGCTTAATGACAGCTGTTCTGGTGTTTTGAAGAACCTTGAACCGTGCACATATTTTCAGTTGGGAATCTGCAGAGATTTATGCATCTGACCCCTGCTGCCTATATTAGGAGACAGAAGCATAGGATGAGTCATTTATGTAGCACAATGTATTATGTGGTGCAACAACAGACAAGGTATGATGGATGTAATTAAATGTTGGATTACTACTGTATTATGCATACAAGTCTCCTTGGCAATGCCTGAGAGAGTAAATTCAATTCAGGAGGAGGCAAATGGCATTCAAGAGGATGCAACATTGTAATCTGTAATTTCTACTGAATAAAGGCAATTAACAAGGCTGTCTTTCCTTCCCTTGTTACTAGGAGTGAGTATTTCAGCCAATCAGGATGTGGAGACAGACATGGAGACCTTTCAGATGGAGATTGATAAGGAGAGCAAAAAGTCTATGTTCAGGACCAATGGCGGATCTTACTGGACTCTAGTGACTCACGGAGAGATCCAGTCTACTGCCACCGAAGTGTAAGTAGCTCTTAGAGCTTTAAAAGAGGATTCCATATTCTCGCATACTTCTTACCTGAACCTCTCCACCTGCTCATCCATGTCTTTTTTCTCAGAGAGGTCAACACAATGTTTGACATTGAGTGGCGAGGACAGAGGGTGGCACTCAAAGCAAGTAATGGAAAGTATGTGTGTACAAAGAAGAATGGGCAGCTCTCAGCAGTCAGTGATTCAGTGGGTAAGCACTCTCAGGCAAGACACAGATTCAGTGTTTGTTTGAAAATGACACCACAGGTACAGCTTTGTTGCCCCGTAATAGATGAACAGCATTTCTCCTTCATTGCAGGTGATGATGAATTATTCCTGATGAAACTCATCAACCGCCCTATTCTGATCCTTAGTGGAGAGAATGGTTATGTGTGTCACCACAAGAACTCCAACACTCTGAATGCAAATCGATCTGTCTATGACATTTTCTCATTGATCTTCAATGACGGCGCCTACAATATAAAAAGTCAGTGTTTTATATATGCAAAACATACAACATTTCTGCAAAATATTATATCTGTGTCCTGTTTTAATAGCAATGGCTGGTAATTTAAACAAATGACTAAAGTATACTCCACTGATATCCTTCTGCAGGCGTGAATGGAAAGTTCTGGTACGTCTCTAGCAGTGGTCTAGTGTGCTCAGATGGAGAAAAGCCAGAGGACTTTTTCCTTGAGTTCCTGGAACATGGACGGGTCGCCATCAAGGGGTCCAATGGCAAATACCTTCGTGGAGACCAGGGAGGTACGCTTATGGGCGATGGCACAAGCGTTGATGGATCTTCTCTTTGGGAGTACTGATCCCTTTCAATCAGGGTCCTCAAAGAGGAAGCAAGAAGGCAGGGTGGAGGACCTGCTTATATCAGGGTCAAATGAAGCGGACTGACCGGGTAACATTTTCCTGCCTGTTTTTATACTAGCTGCTAGGTGCCCGATACTATGTTTTGTCTTTTGTTTTTTTTAATTGGGAAAAAGTGAACACTAGGAAGGTGTGTTTTTTCTTTTAAATGTTAATTGTTTTGTCTTTCAAATGAGAATGCCAACATCAAACAACACATACTGTAAGAAAATGTTGAAATTCACAAATACGGATTAAGAGAGTGGCTGTCCCTATTCTTTCAGACACGCTTAGTTCAATATAGGCACAGTGACAACCAAACATCTTTGAGGGCAGCCACACTGATCAGTCAATGAACAGTGAGAAATTGAATAGAGTCCCACCGTTTTCTTTTTTGCCTACTTAGTAAGCATGACCATGAATAGCAAGACAAGGCTTCTGTTGCTGCCAAATTCCACTGGCTAAATTGACTAAATAGCTCCAAAAGCTGAAAAGATCTCTGCCAATTTGTCTCTCTGTCGAAACACATACAAATCTGGCAGTGAAGTCTTCAACAACGTTCACACACTCTCACTGCAAATCAATGAAAAACAGACAATGACAATGATGGATCAGTGCGGCTGCATCCTTTGGTTTATTTAAAAAAACAAACAAAAAAACAACATAATTGGGTTTAGATGACTAGAATGTAGTCAACTATGTTTATCTGGATCTTAGTTCTGAAACAATCCCACTATGTTTGTTTACGATACTTGATTTCAATACTTTGAAATGTTCTGTAGTCACTGATGTCATGCTAAGCACTGAGGTAATGCACCATTGTCTTTCATAAGACATGAACGGCTGGTGCCAACTGCGTTTTCATTTATCGTAATGGACCATGCACAGCTTCCATAAAAGCACAATATGAAGCAAATGGAGTGGACCAGAGCATATAGACTGCACTGTCTCAGGCACCTCTGCAATGCTGAGCAATGTATATCCAAAGAGGACTTAGTTCAGCATCACTGCAAACAATGAAACATTTTTTGACATAGACGTGTAACACATATAGCGTTACAGAGATCAGACATGTTCAGGAACAAAGAATATCAACAGAAATGTCATATCCATATCAGGGACACGCTAGACACCAAAGGGGGAGCACACTGAAAGCATTTGATCGGACTATACATCATTTTTAATGTACCAGGTGTTAACTCAGAAAGTGCTTCTCTGGTGTTCTGCCTAGGGGCCTTAAACCATACTGCACTCTATATCCCTTTATACCCTGTTCTCTTGCTCAGAGTTGGGTGGTAAGATTAGAAAATATAATGGATTTAGATATATATATAGATATAGATATATTTGAACAGATTACTCACTGGAATACTTGTAAGTAGAATAAGAAAACTCATTAGGCCATTACAACAGTGATGTTCTGTAAAAGATCATGAACATGCAAATGCATTTAAATATAAATCTTAATATAATGCTTGTTTTCCAACTATTTTCCCACAGTGAGATAAGAGGATGCCATAAATTTCATTTGTGAAATGCATGCTATGTGCACTCCCTTTGCCCAGTTGTTGTTGGTCGAACCCAGCTCCATTGTATCAGCAAACTGCTCCTTCAGACAGCTTTGGAGTTGTTAAAAAACATGTTACAGAGCTGGGCTATCTGCCTTCCCTCTGCCTTCAGTCATTGAGCCACTAAGGCCAAGAACGTCCCACTGAAACTGATATAAATCTTCTCATCTAACTCTGGCTGTGACAGGAAACAACTGCATTTCAGTGTATGTGAGCTGTGAGTATTTCTCTAAGTAACCTGCAGTAACAGTGCTTTTGTAAAATGTGATCAGTAGCCTCTAGTATACCCTTAGGCAGCACAGCCCCTTTAATGGGGAACATTGTAATGATTACAGACTCCTGACACCCATCAAATTCCTAAGGGCACAAGCTTCCCAGAATTTATTGGCCCAGATGTTGGTGTGCAGCAAAGAGGAGAACCTGTACCTGAACCTGTATACAACTTATCGTGTAGACTTTTGCCAGTCATTTCCCGTGGAGAAATAAAATCAGCAGTAGTTCAAGCGTAATGTCTAAACCAATGGTTTTGTAATGTGTGCATTTTGCAGTTAACAGAGAAACATTTTAGAAAGCAAGGTATAAAAGGCTTGTTAACCTATACATCCTGTATCAGCTCTATAGAGAGCCTCCAGCCATATTTTAGAATGTATTTAATATATATAGATGTTTTACTATCTTTGTTTTCTGATATGATTTTTGAAAATGTTGATGACAATAAAAACTATGAAAATAGGAAATTTGTGATTCAGTAGTTCAAATAGACAATAGGGTTGGTGGTTGTAACCCTGGCTCCTACTTCTGAGTCTCCGCTCATGTCAAGTCTCCTTGAGAGAAACACTAAACCCCAAATTATAATGCAAATGGAGCAGAGAAAGAAAAAAGAATTGCTGCCACTAATGGCACTATTGTGCATCACTAGAAACCACTATCTGTCCAGTTTTAATGTACAATTCACAAGTTGTGCAATTTGCAGATGATTTGTTAATGTTCATTTGCAATTTTCTGTTGTGTTTTCAGTAATATTTGTTCAAGTGGACTGAAGTTGCATATCACATGACATTATTAAGCTATGTTTAAGTCAAAAAAGATTATAAGTGCAGTTGCAAGAACAGAACTTTCCACCTGTATCTTAGGGTGTTTGATTTGAAAGAGAACTTACTCAAATCATAAAATAACTATTTTGATTTAACTTCCCCTGTGCTTTCATTCTTTCTATTGGTGGGATGTCTCACAAATAGAGTGACTGGGAGCTTTAACTGTGTGCTCTCCCTCATGTACTGGACTCTGTTTCTCCCAGCAGTAGGTTTTGTTGAATTAGTTTCATTCCCTCATGGTGAATATCAGGTACTGTGCTGTCTGTGCCATCTGTGCGCATATAATGTACTCTCGTGTTCTATTTTTCCCACCTGGCTACAATCAATGTTGCTATATCACTGGAAAGTCTGAGCGTGACATTCGTGAATTTGAAATTTTTTTTTGCGATGAGGCTCATTTGCATAGAGAGGGGGCAATTTTGAGCCCAATGTATGCATATTAACTTATTTAAATACATGCAAAAAGCACCAGCGTAGCAGAGGGTACATTTCATCCTTTGCAGGTGCTTTGTGAATTTCACAGTTTCTTATTTGTGCAGGCCTGGTGGTAGTAAAAGCTGTGTAATACTTTTGTGATTATTTGCTGATGTTTTCAGCTCAGTTACTTAATTGACAGAAAACTAGAAAGGTGCTACATACATGCAACCCATTTACCATTAGGTCTGTAAAACATGACCCTACACAAATTGCAGCAGAAACTCTCTCAACTCTTTTAGTCTTATAAATATGTCATTTAGCATCCAAAGAAATCCAAGTGGTGAAAAATACTGAAATTGGTGATGCCACAATTTCTCATTGTCACCCATGTTAAAAACATTTATCTATGCATGTCTTCTTGTCTGATGTCTACACACTGACTGTCCACAATCAACCAGAAACTGTTTTTACATGAGACATGGAGTTGGATGCAGTAAAATGCATGTGCAAAGGAAATTATTATCCCTTAGATGCATAAGTGCTGTTAAAATTGGCCAGAAATTACATTTGATTGTTCTTTCTAAACAACAAGTTCTGTGTTGCCGGTAAGGTTTTCACAATATCAGAATGTAAAACTTTGATAAAATACTAGTATAAATAATACTTGATACCATGGCAAAAAGAAACGCACGCAAAACAGGATCACTCTTTAGTGAAGGTCAGAATTAACCAGCGCACACTGAAATTACTTTGCTATGACTTCATTATCGAACAATGGGTTTCGCCTGTAGCTTCTTCAGGTTTGCTCAGTAAAATTACATTAGCTCTCTCTAGCTCTCAATACCAATATATCTACAATGTTTTACCATTTTCACAAAGGTGAGCGCCATAAACAGAGCTGGCTAACAGGAGGAGAGACTCTGCTCCCAGTGTGACAGAGGACAGGTTGAGACAGAGCTACAATTTCTTACCTTATGCTCGAAATACCAGGCTCAGAGAAATGAATGAATGAATTTTCCTTATATTGGAAAAATGTGAAAAGAAAAATCCCCTCTACCACACTAATCTCAGGACACATGACCTTTTCTTCAAAACTTAACCAAAGAAGAGTAGTAAGAACACCACGTGTCTGGAACATCAAGACCATCAAGCAGCAGCTGGGTCCCAGCATGTGCACTTGCATCCTCTTCATCCATTCAGTAGCCGGGTGTGACATTACCTCCCATCTTAATGGCAAAAACCTCACAACCAGCAGTGACTTCCGTGAGCTACAGTGTGTGATCCGTCACCCTCCACAGCAGATGTTTTGTCAGCAGGAGAGAATACTTTGCTGTGCCTGTACAATAGGAAGCCTATTGCAATTTGCGCAACTTTAACCCCTTTTTTTCTCACAAATGCCTTTACTGTAAGATATAAAGAAGAGATGACTCAGCAGCCTTCTTTTATAGCAGACATTTTGAATTGTCATGGTAGGAAAAGGATAGGTGTTACTAAAATTAACATTGATTTTCACTTTTTCGTAAAAAAAAAAGAAAAGAAAAAAAACTCAGTTCCATCTTTACTTCACATTTTCTTGTTTCAAATGCTGGGGAATTTGGTTAACATTTTTTGCAACATTTGGCCTCATGACAGTATGTTAGTAAGGCAGCATGTACAATACCAGGGCCCTGAAAATGAATTCAGCCATAATTCATAATAATATTATCACCTGAGTTTTTCCTACTATGTGTGTAAAAGGTCTATTATAGTTAGGGCTCAGTAATATAATAGGAAATGTCATATTGAAAATATAAGCCCTTTCATGCAGTAATAAAATTAGTAACAAGTGTAACTGCTATGAGTCACAATGTCTGTTGCAAAGGGCCAATAAGCCCAGTTACTGGTTCAAAAAAGCTTTCAGTATATGGCCTAATTCTAAAACGCCTGTAACCAAAATGCTCAAATGCACACTTGGCAGCAATCTGGCTGGTGAATTTTAATTTCCAAACCAGAGCACAGTCCAACCTTATCAGCATTCACCCACAAATAAAAAGGCAGACAGGATTTTGATCAGTGTGGTATCTCTTAGATGATTTTCCCCATTTACTACACTGGGTGGCAGTGTGTACCTCTCTTAGCCCATTCTTTATCACAGTAATACTCAGTGACAAGTGCTGTAAAAGTAGCATATCCTGCAATCACATCAAGCACAAACACCTGTTAGCAATCCACCACCACACTGCAACTGACCTCCTGACATCTGTTAACACTCTCAACAACTTCAAGTTTTAAACTACAACTGGCATCAGATGTCACTTCCAGAACACTGTGCTTATCTGTAATTAAGAAAACAAGACATGATGTCACATGATGTAAAGGAAGTCTTACAGGTTCAGCCATCATAGACCTCTTCCATCACCATCTCTAACATTTTCATAGTGTTTCAAACTATTTATCCAATAAACTTCCAGTTTTCTTTCTTGAAAACACACACACACACACACACACACACACACACACACACACACACACACACACACACACACACACTCTAAACTTTTTGCCTCCTCTTGTTTAATTCTGTAATTACATAGGCAAACGTTTTCTTTGAGAATCACAGCGCATAAATGCCCTGCTCACTAGCCCGGATAATTACACACTACTCATTGAACTGGAGATGTTTTAATGGATTAACTTGCCTTTAACATGACACAGACTGTGCTTTCGGTGAAGCTGTGAAATGTCTGCAATGACAATGAGAGAGCCAACGTTTTTTACATTTGCAAACAAAGTCTAAAAGAACTCTGAAACTAAATTGAGAGTTTTCATTTCAAGTAGCCAACTAACTAACCTCTCTGACCTGTGGTTCTTCTTCTTCTGTCTGTGTTTGAACCATAGCACTACACACCTCTGTTGAGAATTGATGGCTAGATGTCAATATGTATTACTGGTGCTGTTTTCCTCCTCTGTGTTCTCTACTGCAACACTGGCTAGGTTTGCCTGCAGCCAAAAAAATTAAGTTATTTTTACTAGGCTGTTAGATTTTAGATCCTCCAAGGAAGTTATCTCAAAATACAAATATTAGACAGAAATCCAATTCTGCTATATTTTGGATTAAAGGCAAGTGCTTGTTTTAAACAGATGAGCTGGACACTAAGCTTTTATGCAAATCTTGTTTAAATGAAGATCAGCCATCTCCTTGGATCAGCCACGACATCCCAGTAAAACACACGCGACAAACAAATACAGACACATAAAATAAAATGGAGTGTATACACAAGCAAATGTGTTTCAAATGTGATTGTGGAACGGGACAGTTTTTTGCTTTTTGTGTCTTTGAATAAGATATCCTCTCAGAAGGAGTGGGGAATAATAATAATAATATATTTATTTTATATATAGCTGTAGCAAGACTCGCTACTACCAAGGGTTCACTCAGCACACAGATCACAACAGAGATTAATAAGCAAGACAACTGTATTACTATTGTCAGCTGCACACACTATTGAGACAGCTTAGCTCACTTCCAAAGTCCATGAGGGTTTTCTGTGTCTCTTGTGTTGTGTGTCTCATGAGTCATTACACAATGAGTAGCAGCTGAGGTAATTAACTCACCTGGTGCTGGGTGCAAACCACACCCACCTCCACAAAGACACTTCATATGGTGACTAAAGAATAACAAAATAAATAAAGCCAAGGCAATATCAGTATAAAAACACTACTATAACAACTATAAACAACTATAAACAAAAGACAAAACAGCATAAAACAAAACGAAAAAGAAAACAGGTGGAGCAATAAAAAAGAGGGAGGGATCACAGCTTTAAATAGGTGGGTTTTGAGTGCAGTTTTAAAGGATGGGAGTGAGGGAGAATGTCTGAAGTGTTTGGGGAGAGAGTTCCAGAGGGAATGGGCAACAGTGGAGAAGGCCTTGTCCCCCTAGGTTGCAGGTAGGGGTATGTCGGTGCAGGTAGGAGTATGTCCGTGCAGGAGATCGGTGAGGAGGGGGCAAGATTGTTGAGTGCTTGTGAGGAGAATTTTAAACTGGATTTGTTGTTGAATGGGGAGCCAGTGGAGATTTGAAGGACAGGGGTGATGTAATGAATGGGTGAGGAAAAGAGCGGCCATGTTTTGGCTGTACTGTAGTAGATTATGGTGGATGTAACATACAGGATGCTGTTGCAGTCGTCGAGTCGTGAGTGTTTGAAAAGCTGAGAAGGAGAGGGAGGGGCGAAGATGGGCAATGTTTTTGAGATGGAAGAAGGCAGTTTTTGTGATGTGGTTGACCCAGCGTTTCGAAGGAGAGGGTTTGATCAAAAATTACATTCAGGTTGCGGAAGGTGGAACAGTTTAGCAGGCAGAGGGAGAAATTGTGGCATGATTTGATGAGGGATTTTGGGCCAATGATGATTTCTGATTTATTGCTGTTAAGTATGAGAAAGTTAGCTTGTATTTATGATTTTATTTCAGTGAGGCAGTTTGTGAGCATTGGAGTAAGTGGCAGTAGTAATGGATTTGGTGGCGATGTAGAGCTGGGTGTCATCAGCATAACAGTGGAAATATAGGCCACGGTGGCGTATGATGTGACCAAGGGGAAGCATGTAGAGGACAAAGAGGAAGGGTCCAAACACAGAACAGTGGGGGACTCCCTGGCTGTATTGGACTTGGATTTGTTTATGCTAATGAACTGTTGATGATT